TTTTTTTTTCCTGTTTCGTCTGGGGCATTAGCCCACAGCCCTCCCCGAGCAGTGTCACCGCTCCCCACACTTCCCACAGCCCCCCCAAGCACCGCCGCCGCTCCCCACACTGCCCAAACCCCCCCCCCCCCCCGCACAACCCCCTGCGCAAACGCGTCAAACGCGTTTACCTCCGTTCACTGAACGCGAGTTCACCGCGTTCAAAACCTGAACGCACAGTAACATAGTGTGCATCCTATCCGGTTGGAGAGCCGAGTGATAGTCAAATGCGGGATCATCGCTTGTCGGTCCCATGTAAAAACCCCACAAACCATTTCGTGTTACATAGCTATGAAGACCCCACCGTTTAATGTTTTCTTTTGCATCATGCACAATTTCGAGGTCGACTGCATTTTTGGATGCATGTAAAGTCGCCCTACCCACAACTTCTGTTCGCAAGTTATCGTCAAAATCAGCTATCACATCCATATCTTGCCTTCGTACAGTGCAAGTTGGACACCGCCCAAACTTCACGACTGCCAGTGCGCATCTCTCCGGGTAATCTTGAATGTAGTTAAGCAGAAATGGATGGACCGTTATTTCACCGTCATTACTAGTCACAATCTGTATTCCATTGTGTGATGCTTCCTTCGCAGATTGCAAAACTAATGACAACGATTCATGTAATATATTGCTTTTCAGTTTCCTGAAACTTGACGACGAATGTGACCACCCCTCATCCCTGGGTCGATGTTTGAGGATGGGAAGATAGGCTAGAAGAGTAGCCTCAGTTGATCTATCAGCCAATGACATCATTAGAGGATAGGTTGTTTCTTTCATTCGCCCATCCAAGTGAGTTTTGTCATAATACAAATTAAACGGAATAACATAACGACGTCTTCCATTTAAATTCAATCCCTTGTCTGCGCGTGTAACTTCCTGAACATGTCGCCATAATGTTCCTGTCATCGCTCCGACAATGGCTTGAACCTCTTCCACTTGAGTTGGAACCTCGAAAACAAGTTTGTTTCTCGATGTTAGCGCACGCAAAACAAGTGTCATAAATGTCTTTGTCCAATCACGACACCACATTTTTGCGTGCGCGCCTTCTGGCCAACCATTTTTCCGAAGATCGATTTCTTCCCAGCCTGTTTCTTCCGCTTGTGCAGTGGCCCAATCAAGACACTCACGACCATTGTGGAACGGAATCGACTGAGGATCACATTCAGGATAACGAATGATTGTCAATAATGCATCCATGTCTGTCAGCGACATCCCAACACCCCCTCTTGACGAAACCGTTAAAGTTGTCATCCTACGACCCGTATGGAAAGGAACCTGCATCGAGACATCATCTCTATTTTGTGTGCAACCTTCGCCAACGTCGTTATCCAAAGAATGCACCGCTAGGTGTTCATTATCTTCCTCATCGATATCTACATTCAATGCATGATAAAAACTGCGAGTCTCCAAAGGTTCGTTATTCTGGATACTTTCAGTGTCAGATCTGAGGTCTATAACATTCGCAGTGCACCGCCTTGCACGGTGCGAATTAAGTGCGCGAAGACTGCCAAATGGTCGTCCGCACTCACACCTATGCAGCTCATTGACATCCATAAATAAGAAATATCATCCAGTTGACGTTTCCCTTAGGACGCCTCCTACAACAGCTGTGGTTCCCAACAACGGAATATGGGCGTCAAAGACAACTATACTTCGAGAATAAAAACGTCACTGGAAAAATCTTGCTCTATAGGTTATTAAGTAAATATATAAGCGCATTAAAAAAAAAAAAACTATACTGTTAACATTTCATTCAACCTCCACGAAACACAATAGCACATAAGTTTGATTATGTCAATTGAATGAAATTTATTGTTATTGACAAAAGCACTATTGTATGCGCGTTGCACGTCGTTTTGTTTCTCCCTTCTTATTCTTTTGTCTGCTAATATGTCTCTAGCACCCAATATCGGAGGAGGGAGGTTGGGGGAGAGAGAGAGAGAGAGAGAGAGAGAGAGAGAGAGAGAGAGAGAGAGA